CAGCTTCGCTCCTCCCTTTTATAGGCCGGTGCCCGTTCCACCATTTACGACGTCTTAAATTCCTCTTGCACATTTTTTACGAAACGCCAAGTCACGTGCAACGCTATTTTTTACGTGGTCGTTCCGTGAGTCGCAACGAATGGTCATGAGGGCTTAAACGTTGGCTTCTGAATGAATATGTTTATGATCTTGGCTCGCGGAGAGCACCGAAAGCCCAACAGAGGAGGGAGCGTCCCTCGAACAAGGGACCAACGAAACACGAAGCTGCTTACCCTTCGCTCTCTCGTTGTTCTTTCATATTTATTCTCTCGAGTTGGACACGGACTTTTGTGGAGGGGGTGTCATTCGGAAAACAGGATGGAACGGCTGGCTAGCGATGGCGAATTTTTCAGACGGTTTGTCGCTCGGTGCTTGAATTCGAAAATTCACTGGAGTAATTAAGCGTTAGAACGGTTTTCACTGGCTGCGTTCGAGACTGAAATGTGTATCCTGCATTTTAGGTAAAATTACAGTTTAAAACGCTTCGCAGAAAAAAAAAAGAAACAGTGACAACAGTTGACTGGTGTGTTTCACTTTTAATTATCGTTATGAATTACTCTTCCAGTGAAAATCATACCACGGTCGTTTACTGAACAACCGGACCATGTTTTTGACCATTGATTAACCAAAGCGGTAACATAAACCTAAATAAAAATATATTTCACTCTTCGCATTCGATATTTCCTATATTTCCGAATATTTCCGATATATAAATCCATAAATGCGCAAATATGCAAAGTCTACCGATAATTCTCAACTCTGACGGAAAGAAATCGTGAACCGTGTAAAGCTACAATATTACGCAACTTTAGCGATGCGGAGCACACATGGGAGGCGATGTCACAAAGTAAGCTGAACACACCGACGTAACGTGACGGTTGGAATAACAGCTACGTGTTCCGCCTACTCCAATGAATCGTGTTCCAACGAAAACCACGTCATATTTTGGGGCAAGTGTCTCAAAGCAATACGCGAGTCTTCTTTGGACCGATGGTACGAGATCGGAAGTGCGGTCTACCGGCAACTTTTCGCAAGCACAGTCGGCTATCTGATCGGCTTCCATAGATCCGCCGTTGGTGTTTACGTTACGAGTTAAGCCCCTTGCGCCTAGCATTAAACCAGCCCCATCGAAGCCACACATCGGGATTCAAAGCCCCATAAGCATCGTTACGCCGCGTTACATTCCCCTCCCTCCCTCTTGACTGTCGAAATTACTGACACCTATGTGCGTTCGAGCCTCCCCTGGAAATTAATCCGTATCGTATTCGTGCTAGGCACTCATTTCCCGTCGAAAGTAGCGACGTAAATTGACCCTTTGGGGACCACACCGAATGGCCGGACTTTTTAGTCTACGACTCTTGATCGGACGCCCCATTAATTCTAATCCTTCATGCCGCTCTTACTGGATTTTATTTTATCGTGTCTATCGTGTTGGTGAATCCATTGAGGATCAACGTTGCGTTAAAGCAACATTTCATTTGCGATTTTTCGCACTATCCAATCGATCAATTTACATCGTCGAACTCTATTTTTCAACGTTTGTGGCTATGAAATGGAATTTCAAGGATTCGCTTAATATTTCCGTCGTTACTATCTCCGCCACCTTGATTAAAGAAACTAATGTATTCATAACTATCGTGGTAATTATTATGTTGCCTGGTCTTTAATGGGTAAATCGTACGGTAAACTTGGAAAAATGTGATATTTACGAACGTCGATTATTAGTAACAAGCACTCAGTAGGCTGATATACGGAATATAAATTTATGATATGGTATTTCTTTCATACATACTAAAAATTTTTCCAAGGAATAGTATCCCCTAAACCGCATATTCTAAAGGGATTTCAAAACATGCGCATCGAAAGTAGCTTCTTGAATGAAACCTTGGTATGTCAAGTAACCGTACGATACACATGCATCGTCTCACAAATTTACGTGCGCAGCCGGATACGCGTACTCGTCCACGTGAATATACATACAGATGTACATGTAAACGAGACCCAACATGTGCGCGGCTTTACATATGCCAAGGGATCACGATATTGTATGGCTGAGATACGATGGTGGGGTGCTTAGATAGTTTGCCTTCCCTTTATCCACGTGATTCCTCCCTCCTTTGTGCTATTACGAACCCTCCTAGACCCGCTATCCTTTCTTCCAACCCTCTCGATTTCGGTACACCTTTCCGCACGACGGCACATCCGCCGCTTAACTCTTCTTCTCACCTTCGACTTAGCAAGCCGCAACTCCGTATCCATCCTCCAACATTCCCTTGACTCGATTTTCGGGCTGGGAGTTAATACGCGACGCGTAATTCAGTAGGAGAAGGCGGGCGAGAGGCGGGCAGAGGCTCGACGAAAACAGGAATGGTAAGTAGCTGTCGTCGAGTCGACGCGTATGATAATACGAAAGCGTAAAGATCTTGCGGCTTTGCAACATGCTCGTCATTTTCAAACTTCAAGACACGGCAATTCCCGAGCCTAGCTACCACTGATATGCTAAATTGCTTTGTCGATTTACATAGTTCACAGGAAACTATTAATTAAACGAACTAGGTTTAATTCTGGGGATTGTGAACGAACAAATTCTTATATCAGTGATCGTATTTATACAAATTTTTATTTCCCAAGGAATAGTATTACTTATATTCTCTAATTTAATTAAAGTAGGAACGTAAACGATGTGGCAGAATGGTCGTCGATTATTAGGGGGAAACCTCTTGGCTGAAAGGTTTCGGAAACGTTAATCGTGCACGTTCGTTACACGTAGGAAGCCCTTTGCAATTCGTGCGGGGTTAAGTGTGACGAGGAAAGGAAATCTCATATGTCGAGAAGTCCCAGCACGTTACCCTCGATCCACATATATTAACTCAAGAATTGAAGGGGACCGACCAGACAAGTTCTCGACAAGATTTTGATCTTCGTAATCCTTTCCACTTGACTTTCATGACTCCGGCCCGCGCAATTCATTTCTGTCGCTTTCTATCCTGTTTACGATTTACAAAGATCCAAAAGAGAAATATTATTTTATCTTTCCTTACTGTGTACTTTAATATTATCTTATCGGATTACGTATAAACGATAACACGAAGAATATTGAAAAATTAAATCAATATTTTTTATTCGCGTCGACCTTATTTCCTCGAGGAAGAAACTCTGCTTTTACTCCGGGGTGTAGAAAACGTATAACAATATCGAGTCGTAAAAGAATACGAGGCCCTTTATCGGAGAATTTTTTAACACCATCGCGCGGTTATCTCGCGGATATCTGTCGTCAAATTTATATAAACCTAAACAACGATTTTATGACAATGAGGGCGTATTTAATGTAGATACGGTGCACTAAAAAACAACGGGACCACGTTTCAATGAAGCATCTAAAACATTAGCCTCTTTATAGATTTAGTCGAGTCACGGTAAAGTATTTATACGGGAGAAAAAAGAATGTAGAGAATGTATATCTCGACTGTACATTAAAGTTGACGTTGATGTACGGGCAAAAGGAATGAATGGTTATAAAAGGATTCGGTGGACGTGACATTAGCGCGAGGGTGCATTCTCCGAAACGAGACGCAGGGGAAACATGGAAATTTAACGCTGGCCGCGTTAATTAAACGCTTAGACTCGACGATGAATAACAAAGTTAATATTTTCACGTAGATTTAGATCTTACGGTAACTGGCGAGTCTCTATGGAAATTCTATTCTGTGATATTTTTAAGAAAAACGTAATACGCCTCGATTATACCGTTTATCTCTCTATTGTCTGGCGAAAATTCGCGAACAAATTTTCGTGTACACGTTTAACAGCTTCGATTACGATAAGTTTGCACACGGTGGAAGTTTCGATGAACCAAAGGCTAGTTCATAGCTGGACAGAAAACTTCGGCTGGGCCAATTTTATTACAGATACCTTAATAATCTAATTTAAACTTAGAGTTGATTGACGTTCATACAACTTAATTAAAACTTTAATTAGTCAATCAAACTTAAGAATATCCCATTACTTTCCATTTCTTTCCTTCTTCTCTTAACACAAGAGCAATTTTTCGGTTAAACATTATCAGAGAAAATAGAAAAATTCTATCGACGTGTATATACGCGCAGAGATTTTTTAACGGGATTCCCTTGTTCGGTTAAACTACCAAAAAACTTTCTTAATTTCGAGCATAAAACATAAGTCTAAAATAAGTTGATTATGTCTTTTACTATCCACTCGACTGACTCGAATTCGCTCGGCTAAGCTACTTCCGGCTCTGTAACATCCTCTCTTTTCTTTACTCGCTGAAAAGCTTTTCTAAAATTTATTCCCACTCCGAAACTCCTAATCGTGTTCCCCCAACGCAATGCATGCATACGTAACACACCAAACACCGTGTGGCGTCGGAATATTTCTTCCAGAGGGACTTCCGGGAGCGACTATCGCAGAAAGGAATGGACAGGAAATGAGAAAGATAGAGAGAAGGGGGGAAAGAGAAAAGGAAGAAAGAGGGAGACAGACGAAGGGAAACTTTCCACAGTGCGGTTCGATGAAGCTGGCCCAGCCGAAAGTTTTCGTTCAAACATCAACGCAGTGACTTACTCAAAGCGTCGCGATCGCGGTCTCCTTCTTTCCTATTTCTCCTTTTTCCCTTTCACTTTTGTCATAAGCTTTTTCGAAGCTTTCGGGTGCTTTCCAAGCAAAGTCACTCGAAAATCAGCGGCAACCGCCGGAACGTGTCTCTAGGAACTCTGGCGGTCGTTCCGGTTTCTCGCCCCCTTCTTTCTCCCGACGGCGGCCTCGCTCACCCTTAGCCACGGATTAAAGTATCGACGACACCAACCGCGCCTGAATAATTCAGGATCAAAAGTTTTAACCGCAAGCGAGGCGAAAGCTCTTCATGGTTCGACGCGAGTTCCGCCACCGATCTGTCGTTCGGAGACAGCCTTTCAAAAACGATCGAAATTCACTTTCTGTTGCAGGATTCGCGCTGATGAGGATCGTCGAAGTCTACAAGGAGATCCAGGAACAAGAAATGAATATCGTGAGTAATTCCGTTTCTCTTTATCGCACAAAATTGATCGCATTTTTTTTCCGAAAACGGATGTAATTTTCACTGAAATCGAGAATACAGCAAAAATGTTGAGTTCTTGATTTCTTATCAACGCTAAGATAATATTCGTTCTCTATGTATCTTTGAGTAATTTGAAACGTTTAAAAGCACGATATAACAATGCTATCAATTATTCAAGACAACGTGCACAATCTGCAGGGAGTGCGATAAATCTTCGACCCTGTAAAGAGTATTTTCACACCCCTGTGCACATCTACCCCGATAAATTGCATAGAGTATCCCGAGCCACCGTCTAAAATCAAACCTTGAATACTTCATAAGAACGATCCACAGTAGGGTAGGCATTCGTAACGAGCTTAGTATCCCGGCTCCCAAGGAGGATACGAAGAAAAGGCAGCGAATAAATGATGTCTGGCAGTCGGTGCGGGCACGGCCTGTTCGCGTTCGAATTATTTAAATAAACGACCACGGCTGACGCAATTAAAAGTAGAGAAGATTTATGCGGGACGCGCGAGAAACCGAAATGCACGGGGACGAACTTCCAACCCCGCTGGAATATTAATTGGAAAGTTAAAAGAGAGTTTTGGTCATTTAGCCCATCTCTGGCTCTCGCCCCTTCCCCCTAATCACCAACTTTGTCCTCCCTTTATCTCCATCCCGTTTCGTTGCTATATTTCTTTCTCGTTTCGACGAATACCACGCTCATCCACCACCCCTTTCTATTTTTCGTCTCTTTTTCTATCCGCCCATTCAGAAACACATGGAAATCTCTTTGATCCTTGCACGACCCTAGGCTGCCTCCGGGGTGAGATTACACACCTGCAGACGTCTCTTTTGAGGGTGAAAATTCGTTCCGGCCGTAACGACATGTTATTACGATTTCGCCCCGCGGACAGTGATACGGGCCGCTATGTTTTCAAAATGGCATCCCACGAGGAAACATCTGCCGAGGAGTTCCCTGGATTAGATCGTGGTGGTATTTAAAAGGATAGAACGTGTGACCACGACCGACCGAGAGATCTTGGGCTATTTACTTGCGCAGATTGTCAAGATGACAAATAGTTTTTGGACGCTTCCTGGTTTCATGTAAAACGTGACAATTCGTTTAAACTCGCTTCCAGATAGAGTTTTGCATGAAATAGACGAAAACATCTTAGGGTAATTTGCCTAACATTTTGAAGTACAAAAAGTCTAATCATTCTTACGATTTACCTCACTTTCTGTAAGCGTCTCAATGCTTACGAACAAGGATGTACGTTGATTAGACGTCTCTTGCTCCTCTCGATGAATGCTATGCATCAAACTCAGTAATAAGTCTTCAACACATTTCTCTTATCCTGTATTTTTATATTTCGCATTCTCCTCCAGAAGCACCATTGTCGAGGTATCAGAAAGTCCCATTTTCATTTCAATGACAATACGCCATAAAGATTGTCGCCTTCTAAACTGCTCGCTTCGTCGCGGTGTTTAAAATCCGTGCAACCCCTTTCCTCGTTTCTGGCGAAATATATTCCCGTCGCACGATACTGTTCTCCTTTATGGAGAATATTCCCAACAATGATCCCTGGCCATTATAAACGATCCTCCGTAGCAGCCGGTGCTGGAATCGTTTTCCACCGAACGTTAAAGTCTCCGAAGATTGAGCCCCTTTGATCCCTCGCAGCTCCCAGTTTGCAGCAGCGCGCCTTTCGAAGCGAACGAAGAACAATGTTTCCGGCAATAACGAAAAGCCGTTATTGCGCGAGAGATTTCCGCGGAATTGCGACCGCCGTCATCCCACCCAACTCGTTCGGACCATCCGCAGACGTGAAAACCGCACAACTCCGTGCACAGACAGTCACCACGTTCCAGAATTCATCGCAACTAATTGTTTCTTACGTGACCGTAGTCCATAACTTGCGGCTACCGCTGGCCAGAAAGTAATTGTTTCCTTTACTAGTTTCCAGACGCGGTTCTTTATAGCTCCCAAGAGACAGCGTTATCGAGACCGACCGATATTGAATGATTTAGTGTTTGTTTCTTCTCGCGAGAAAAAGAGATTTGTAGAATAATCGTCGACTCTCAGCGGATAAGGATTGCGGAGATATTGCGCGTTTTCAAAGAAACTTCCCGATTCTGTCTTTTTCGATATGGGGATGAGTATGTACTCGAGCTTGTACGCTTCGAACTATAAATTCGACCAGCAACTTAAAATAGACTTCGCGTCTCGGGTTCTACGTCGAATTCGATTTAGTACTTTCGGTAGAGCCGTCACGTTTTGTCGATATGGTCTTGTTAGCTTTGGTCGTTCAACTAATTTTGGTTGGATGCGCGAAAGTAAAAATTGCACAAGGATCTCGCGAGACTATGTTAGATTGCTTTATTATTAGAGAACTTAACAAGGGCTTTAAAAATTGTTACAGTACACTTTCCCTTTTTTGCACGATTCTTTCTTTGAAGGGAGGGGAGGGATTTTCAAAATTACCTTCGATTTCATTATTTTTTCGACGCAACATCCGACGAACCTGTCTACTGCAGCAATACACGCGCAATGGATCAAAATGTTAAATCTCTTTGCAATTTCAAAAAACACAGATCGCCGATAGCTAATCTTTTTTTTCGTAGACAAGGTTCGATTTTTCTATGTTCGTGCACATTTCACGCGTACTTTCCCACGCTTAATATTTTCATCCCGCGTTCCGTACATATGTCTCGTCTGCCTGTATTTCGTTTTCCGTGAATTCTCAGCGGGCCCTCGACCTCGGGACCGTTTCTACCACACCACTGCACTACAATATTATAGGAAACGCATATCCGAAGCCATTCACGCACGAAAGGTCGTTGTCTCAGGCCAACGCGCACACAGCATTTCTCCATCCTCGTTTTCATGCTTTCTTCGCAGCGGCATTTCTCCCTCGACTTCCATTCCCGCAGATTACGTCAGACCTCAGCCTCGTCTGGCAACATTCGCGAGGATGTCCTTTCGCGCATCTTCCACCCCGGTGTCTCGCACCTCTTTCGAGCTCCGTTGCCAAGCCTAATCGCGCGGAAATATACAGTGGAAGAACAATTTGGTCCGGCCGTTGAATCAGTTTTATGGGTTTAAAGACGAACGTCGAGAAACCGTTTAAAGTAACAAGATTAGAGTTGCGGTCGACGCGGAGTTATCTCAGTACTGATGCGACCCATAAAATTCGCAACCTTCCGTTTCGCGGAATCAAATAAAATACAAGATACATGTGTTTTATGGATTGGAACCAGTCTCATCGAGTTATCTTCGAATTTATTTATCTCGAAATAGCTGGCCGTTGCAGCGTTCCTCAGATCGAATAACCGAAACGATTTTTAATAGAAATTTCTTTCCATCTTTTTTTTCTCCCCCAATGAGACTACACGGATATTATTGAATTTTTTAACCCAAAATTTTATCGAACCTTGAATATATCTTTTTTATTGCATTTTTCTCGGTCAAATAGCTTCGAATCAGCAAATTGTTGCAATATAATCTGTCGAGGGAAAAAACATTTGAAAAATGCAATCGGTGCAAAAAACGTTTTAAATATACTGTTATTTCAATATTCACGAACAAATCCATTCGTAATACGTATCACGCCCTTTCTTCCACCGATTCGGACGGTATTATGCTAATTTAACTGCTCCAAAATCTCGCGAGAAAAGTTTCGAATATGAAAGTTTGATTCCGTGTAACAACTCCGATGTGAAATATATGGATTGCATAGAATTTTGTTCGGTTGCCTGTAAACCTTCGACGTTTATGGTTTCTCTTATCATCAATATCATTCCTCGGTGCACTTATAAATGCTTATTATTTTCACCTATTAATACCTAGAACGTTCTTGGTTTATGGAAAAATAATTGACAGAAATCCGATGCTGTCATCGAATAGACCGTATTATCGGAACAAATGAGAAGTTTATTGTTCCAAAGAACCTAATTAAAAATGTAACAAAGTAATGTCAAAACTCGATTGTAAATCAGATCCAGAACGAATCAAAAATTTTCCTACGTATAAATTTCAGCTTTGTCGCTATCTCTAACACAAAAAAATGAATTAACGACAAACAAAAGACTCTTGGATTTCACGAATTTCTATTATGATTCCTATTCAGAATTGATTCCGATTCTCTAGCTAAAAAGGGGGGAAAAATGGATGAAAATTCTCTGTCCTTTTCTCCTCGTCTGGTGTGCCTTCATTGTTACAAAAGAGTACACGTCATCGATTGATCGCGTGTTGCTGGCTCGAATGGCTCCGTTTGTTTCTCCGGGGAGCGAAAGAGAAACTTTTGAGATATGGTTCTCGTGACGTGTAATTCGTAGCTGCGATCGCTGGTGAAGCATCGTGGGGAAAAAAAGAAAAAAGAAGAAAAAACGCGGAAACCCGACTCGATATGTAGTTACTGTCAGGACGGACAAGCGACTTCCCTAGGGAAAAGTCGCCTCGTGATGAAAACTCTCACCCGTCTACGCTAAAGGTTTTTTTCAGCTTCGCTTGTCGATATAGTTTTCTCACGAAACGAGCAGAAATGATAGTGGATTATTCCAAGGATTCTGTTACGGCTAAATGCAACGTGAATGGCATAATTTTTCCATTGTCTTCTTATGAACGTAGAAAGCGGAAGATATAAATGAAAGAAACAAACGAAAGCTTCAAGAGCGCATCGAAAGATTAATGACCTAGCCTAAAAATTTCAATCCATCAAACGCGAAAACTTTTCAGGCTGCTGTTTCCGATTCTAGAAGCCAGGATAACGAGAAAGAAAACATCATCCAGCCTTACGTTCTTAAGTGGATTGGCAAAGTGGTGAGAGAAAGAGTTTCGTGGAATGGCGAAAGAGGGAGCAAGCGAAGATGAATCCTTCGAGTGGTCTGGCTCAAATTCGAGCAGCCTGCATTACCTTTTGAACCTTTTGAAGCTATTGCATGCCGGTGAAACGATCGTCTGCAAAAAAGGGGGAAGGGCCGATGGACCCTTTCGCGCAGATTAGCGGAGAATCCAATGGGCTATGGTGAAAGGTCACAACTCAGAGGGTCTTCTATGGTTATTCAATGCGACCCCTTGCAAATTTTTCAATCGAACCATTATCGAAGTTGAAAATACTCCTCAATGCCTGTTTGCTGAATATTAAAAATATATCTTCGCAACTGGACTGGTTAAAGAGTCGCTACGTCATGTCAGGGGAGCAAACTTTCTGAAAGTACACGAAATACACACGGGGTAACAATAAGTTCCACGTTTTAACGTTCGTAGAATTTCCTGTCACGGAATAAACGTGCGATGACTTCGAGAATTGTGAAAAGTTTTAATACAACTTTCGCCTAATTATAATTTCATAGCTTTTATAACGCCCCGGATTATATAATTTTATCACATTCTTATACAATATACATACTGACAACAAAGTTGATAATAAAAGGTGTACAGTTTCGGTTCGATAAATAACGTAATTGAAACACGAAATGAAAAGCGCATCGCGCGCGACCGGTCCATTCAACAGCAACAAGTTACGAATTTAATGATCACGATTCTAAAAGATCTCAAAGACTCTTCAAGGCTGTTTCGTACGCTGGAAAGTTTCGCGAGTCTGTGAACGTTGAAAAGTAAAAGTTCTCGAGCTGAGACTTCATTATAAACATCGCACCTTTGTCGAGAGTCTGCTACTACGATCGCTGTTACAGGATTTTCCTTGAACATGAATAGTCGAGTAACTTGAACGAATTTTCATGGGATCTCGTTAATCGTTTTTCCAACGGAAGGATCTTCTCGAAGCGATGAATCAGCAACAAAGACCGCGCCGATATATTAACGGGTCTCGAGTTTTTGCCAAGTAAAAGGTACGATACGGCAAGCTTTTTGTTCGTTCTGGTTGCCGAAGAATGTCCCTAGCTGGAAAGAAGCCAATCGACAAGCCTTGTTTTCCCTTTTTGTCGCGAATGGTAAGAGCGTTCTAAGATATGGCAATCGAGTCGAAAGTGTTGACGGAGACGTCGCTCTTGAAAACTTTCCTCAACATACATGGAAACGACATAAAATAAACTGTATATCGCGCACGAGTATCGAATGACGGATACATTTCCGTAAAGATGCTATCGTAGAGACGCAACCAACTCTTAATTTCAACTACTTTTTCAACTCTTACCTGTTTTAACTTCCCCATTGAGTCTTTCGAAGCAGTGCTACTTTTCATTCGAATTTTCTACGGTAAAATCATCGAAGTAAAATCCAACTTCCTAATAACTTGTGCTATTAATTTTAGTTTCCATAGACGTTTCAGCATGAAAATTGGAACAAAAAGCACGATGAATCTTCCGTTCTGTTGAATATCTCGTTGAATAGTTATACATTTGTGAATACGGAGGCGTATGAAATTTCTCATTACACGGTTAGCCGTTTCGTTCGTATAATACAAGCTGCATTATGTTAGATTTGCTACAGGAATTAAAGTGGAAGATTTATCCTATAATTCTTGTTAATTCTACTTCCCTTGTTCTTCTAGTTTTCTATTACAATTCCAGCCATAATTTTAGTTCTCTAATTCGCAAATTCTCCCAGCCATGATAGAAATAAATTGCATAGCAAAATTTTATATAGCTCATGGCAAAAGGGTGCGTTACCTTTGAATAAAATTTGAATTTTGCTCGATAAAGCACCAAATTATTCTCCATATCTACCCACACCTAAAATTCAGACGTTCCGTTTTCTTTAAAATAAACTAAAAACCGATCACATTCCGTAATCCGCTTTCCCGATTGCGAGTCGAGAATTGAACGGGGCTTGCAAGCGACTGCTATAACGTATCATCTTGTCTGCTCTAACGAAAAAGAAGCGGTGGTGAAAACGCGGGGTAAAATTCCCCTGGATCCCTCTAATGAATATTGAAACGCCCACGTAAAACTCGCACTCCCGCAACGTTAGACGTTCCATTGACGCATAGCACCCGGAAGTGCCCAGGATTCGGCTCGATGAAAGCGAACCATCCGGTTCAACCAGCTAGACGTCGAGTGGGAGGTTGGGAAGAGACCGCGCTGCAGAGGGCGCTGACGCGAGTTCCCAGCCGTTCAAATTTGCACACAGAGGGTGAGGATCAGAGAATGAGAAAGAGACAGGGATGTTTGCGCCAGCTTCTCCGTCGGAAGGTCCGTGACTTCGCCGGCTTTTTATACTGGATTTCCACATCCGTCTTGAAAAGCCCGCTTCCCCGGTTACATCCTCCGGCCCGCGTTTCGCGAGAAAGAAGCAGAAATAAGGATGAGAGAGAAACCGAGGCTCGGGCCTTTTTTACTCAAAAAATCTTCGTATGAAAACGTAAAGAGTCGAGCGTTTGATGCAAAAGCTGTTTTTCTTTGTTAAAGAGTGGCTTTCTAAAAATCTGGATGCTGTAAATTTATTAGTTGAAACGCGATTTCATTTCATGTGTGCTTTTGTTTTACGCAACCGAATTTTTTATTTATTATTTTGGAAAAAATTTGTATCGTTTCTAACAGATTTGTTTGTAACAAAACATCTTGTTTTTTGAAAGTACGCTTCGTCTGGATGATATTGTAAATTTTATTCGCCGTAGATGGTTGCAGGTATCGTGTATTTTTATACATAAATATATTTTACGTGTTTTTCAAAGCCGCGAAAGCTAGTTGCAGGAATCTTTTCCGCGGCGTGTTCCATCGAAAATAATTGAAAATTCACGCAACGGTCTTCCGATTTTTACCTTTGTTACGTACGAGGTACGTGCTGACACACGATCGCAAAGAACAAAAGAGAAATACTATACAACAGTGGAAAGGGAGGCGAAACAATGAAATAAGCAACCCAACACGCAATCCAGAAATGTATCGTAAAGTCAACTGTAAAAGTTTCGTACGCGGCATTAAAAATGCACTGTACTGTTTCGCAGCTGAGTCTCGTTTCCAAACGGCTTAATTAAATCCGAGACTTTGTAAATCAAAACATGTTCGCGGGAACAATATTTCGCTTGGAGCATATTGCCCAAAAAACTCGTATCTCAGTGTAAAAATTTCCCGAGAAATTTGCTTGTGATCGGATAGTTATAAATACACGGGGGTGAAGCGAGGAAAAAAGAAAAGCTCGGACAAATAAATAACTCTACGTACTTCTACGTAGCGACGAGAAAGCCGAACGTAAAACTGTCAAACGCTTAAATAAAATCAACCGTGCGTGTATTACGTCGCTTCAAGAAGAGTTGCATCGGATTCGAGAGTCACGAAACACGTGAAAAAAGTCCGTGTGATTTGTTTGACAAGCAATGCAAAAATAACGTTGCTTTACAATATTTTATACGCCGCGCCGGCGATACTCCCTTGATCTTTCTACTAGTTTTTCCCCTATTCTTTTTCTGTTAAACCTTTCGCCCGAATCTGAATTTTACAAATTTATTTGGACGTCGATCCTGCATGAAAGAGAGCAGATATATTTCTTTTAGAAAAATAAATTCCAATTCGGTATAAATTTTTTCAAATCGATACTCTTACTTACCACGTGGCTAGAATTATATTTCCTATTTTTAGAGATTTCGTTGTAATCCTCAAATAATATTATAGATGCGCAGATGAGCGCAATAGTTGGAACTCGATTTGACCCTAGATTGCTCTTAATTTTGGAAGAATGTTTTTAATTTTATCGAACGTAAATTTGAAGAAATGTTCTCGATCCTTTCCAAGTAGAATATACGAGCGTGCAAAATTTAAAAAAAAAATCGCGTTACTCAAAGCCAATAGATCTTTGGTGGGAAATGATCGTAAAGTACGTCGGGGTTGCATCGAGATCTTTTCAACACATCAACAGCGCCACTTCAACCCGCATTTCTCGTCCCTTTCGACGATCGCTTTTCACGGACAACGATCGACCACCGATAGGAGGTTGCTTATTCGTGGAAATGTATTTCTGATCGAAATGCTGTCTCTAATCAATGTCCATTAAGCCGTGGAAAAAAAGAAAAAAAAATTCCAACCGACTCGTGTCCATGTTGCTCGTCCATGACTATTGCCACCTCCGCAGTTTTCGTTTCGGCGTGGGTTCCAACGGATGGATTTTCTGATTTTTATTTCGTCGTGCCCGACAGATTGCCTTGTCCACCGCACAGGAACGTATATGTGCAATTTTGGTTTTTGCTCCGGGCAACTTACATTCTTCTATATTTGCTGAAGTTTTGTATACTAGTTACAGACGAGTAAATTCTTTACCGACGCTATTAAATATTGACTGAAATTTAGATAATACGAACCTTGTTACTAATAACCAATAAAAACTAAACAACTCCTGTTACTTCATTATCATCATATTAACTTGTAAATTAAATTTCTGATATTTCAGTATATATATAGTATTGTTAGTATTATGATATATATATTACTAGTACCATATTATAATATGATTATTAGTATCATAGTATATATATGATATTTTTAAGTACATATAATTTCAGTTTAAAAACTTGTTTCATTTCCACTGCACACTCTTCGTAAACGTATTCATAACCTCTAAATATTCCATAACATTTTACTTAAAACTGTATAAAACGTAGGATGGTAAATCACGTGTAAGGGTCTCTAAAACGTCCCTAAACCATAAAGATAGAACCGCAAAAGTGACAATGCATCAAGGGTATCTACAATTTTACGAGATCGTATTCAACTGCTAATAGCGTTCGTCGTAACGTCAAAACCGGCTGAAAAACGGGTCAAGCAGCCGCTCGTAAACTTGTCGGCAACATCGCTGACGAAAGAAACGGGTGGCTCCTTTGCACTTGCACGGAAACGTTAAAAGTCCCTCATTACCTAAGCTCGTTTCGAATTCACTTCTGCTGGCTTCCGTGCTTTAAAATTTTCTTTCACTTTCTTGAACTCTACTAGTTCGGCCGTTTGCTTGCTTTCAGTTGAAAGCGTTCTACGTCGACCTACTGGTTCCCCTCGAGACGAACCTAGAGAAAGACACCAAGGTCGTCCAGGTGAGTGTTCTCCACCGGCGTCAGGATATCAAGCGGCCGCCGGATTTCTGAATAATGCAATAATACTTTTTACTCAGAGCGAACAGAAGAAGTTTCTGCAGCAGCACAAGACCAGGTCCGAAACTTACAGCAAAGCGGCGGCAACGATGAAGAAGCAGAGGAAGAAGTCAAGGGGCGCGAGCAAGAGTGGACTGGCCATGGACAAAGAGCTCAAGAATATGCAGATTCTAGAGGAAGAGAAGTCTAAGCTAGACGCCTTTTGTGAACAGAGTTTGAAGAATGTAAGTATGCAATGGACGAGGTCTTAAAATAAAAAACCGGGATACAGAGCATCTAGACACTTTTTTAGAATTCCCGTTCGCTGATATTGACAGACGATAATTAATTGAAGGGAATGAATTTGTGTCAGTTTTGACGTTGATGTAAATAGATCAATTGGATCAGACACGAAGAAAAAAGGATGATGGACGGACATGAGAAAGTATCGAGTGTTCTCCTCTTTTTCAGGCTATGACTCAGGAACGAAGAAGGTACGGCTTTGTTCTCGAGCGACAATGCTCCTTGGCGAAACATTATGCGAGTTTTCACGAGGTCGCGTTAGCTGCTCTTCATCCCTCGGTTGATAAGTGGCGCGAGGTAGCTGCTACTAGGGAATATTTACCACAATCCGTGGAAGACATGTTCGCTTCCAGGCTTAGAGTGAGTGATACTTGGAATATTCCTCTGCTATCATATTCTTTTCTCGAAATTTATTGTATAAAGTGCATCTTTAGAAGATACGAGAAATTTGTGAAGATCGTACAACGACTGCTATATTTGTTTTAACGCATTTCTAATTTTTAGTAATTATCAGCAAGTTTCCCTCTTCGTCGATTAATAATAGTAACATCTTTTTTAACTGTAGCAAGTTTCATTTTGGCCCGAGGACGAGGAAAACGGCGGCTCGGAGTTAACCATGAGCTCGCAATTGAGAAAGACCAGAAGCATGGATAGCTCTTGCTTGGAACTTCGACCTGGACCGCCGTCCGGAAATGTGCCAAGTGCCACTTATCAAGGTCCAACTTCTCATCTTTCATCTGTACTGTCTAGAGCAAGGTCAGAGGCCAATCTGCACGCTTCGACATTATCTCTGGATCCAGGTTAGTCTCTTGTTTTTTACAGAATTTTTCACCCGAGATTTTCAAGAGAAAACAAGGTGAAAAGTTTCAACAACGAAATTTAAATACTCATGAATATAAAAAATGCTGACATAGATGTAGACGCTAAAGAAAAATCGAAATTTTTTTCGGATCACGTATTCAGAGTGATGCTAACGCGTAGATGTTACGTAGTGATGGAGAATGCGAAAACACGGCACCACAGTCCGTTTTATTTTAGCCAAAGCCAATGGTCGAGTGCGTTTCGAACGAGTCGGGGTTGAACACATAACAAACGAGTGCAACACGATCGGGTGGAGAAGTGCTCGCAAAACAGTTGGAGAGAGTCGAGACAGTTCGCTGTATCGAATATCGAATTCCATTTGTCCACCGTTCCGTACACTGGCGAATTTTCCGACTTTCCCCATTATCCTTCTCGAGGAAAAAATCCTGTTACTATATATGTATCGTTGAACGAGAAAAAATCTTGAGACTCGAGAAGCAAAATATCTTCGAATAAAATTCGTCGAATATTTTCTACATTAATTTAACGATTTAATCGATTCGTTAATTTCTCGAACACATCTGAACATATAATTCGATCCCCTTAAACTGAACAAGTTCTTAAATAAAGTAAAACTTTTCGTTTTCTGTGTCGTACAAGTTTTCCAAAGCAAGGCTCTTGCGCGTAAGCCAACCGCATAAATTCGTTGGCAATGATGCGAGAGCAAAATTGATTGTGTTATACAAAGATAGGGAGAGAGAGAGATGAAGGAAAAAAAGGACAAGAATATCATAAGAATGTTCAAATAAGTATTTCATTTCGAACGTAATGCTTTTTGGCCAACCGCCATTCTTCTATCCAGAAGAGAACGCGGTAAAATAAAATCATGGCAAACTCGTGAAGCGCGTCTCTCGATATGAAATTTTATCGATTTCGTGTATTCTGTTCCAAGTGGACCAGTAGCGAATTCATATTCGCGGTTAATCTCGATAATTTTTCCTGATGGTAGTGAACTGCGTGCTCGTAAACAGAAGCGAAGAGGTTCGAAACACTAATTGACCAAAATCCTTCCACTCGAAAGCGTGCAGAGTTCTAATCCCTTCACGGTTTGTGCAAGTTACGACAGAAATGAACCGGGTTAATCGTTCCCCTCCTCAAAATTTCGCAGAGGTTCCAGAAACTCCACCAAGACCGAGGTCCATGGCGCCTCCGGCATCACGCAACAGCGGCAGTGGAGGTGGGGGTGGTAGTGGCACAGGGGTGAGCTCCGGTGGCTGGGGAGATGCACCCCTCGCGAGGGCTCTCTTCGCCTATTTGAGCTCCGGGGAAAATCAGCTGAGCTTCCTGGAGGGCGATCTCATTGCGTTGATGGGTGAGTGCTGGATGTCTGAACGCTTACATTGCCGCTTTCCAGATACGCGTGTTTCCTCATGAAATTATATCCCCCGTCTGACCACAACACAGTTTCCCGTCAGATTAGTCGGATGTGTTTGGAATTCGTTTACACAATAAATCCTAATAACGATGCTTTCGCCATTATCAAACGCCATTTGAATACGAACCACGAGATTCAGAAAATAGAGAAACACGCGAAATACTCTAATCTCATCTTAATAAATAATCTTTCTCGTCTATGCCTGAGAAATTTCCAAGCGAATAAGAGGCAGCCTTGATAAAAATTGATATGAAAATGATATTATTTCTTTGCGTAACCTTCTCGACTGTATAAGAGATAGCAAAGATAAATCAGTGCTTTGAAATCCTGACCCCTTATCGGCCACGATATTCCCTCCTTTTTCTAGCAAATAAGGAGCATAAATGGTTATTTCTATTTCACGAAACTACCTTATTAGGAGATCGTCAGAAAGGCTGGCAATTTGGGGAGAATCTCCGCACACAGAGTTCCGGATGGTTCCCACTGGCATACACAGAAATTATTATCGACGATAGTCTAGGGTAAGTTAACAGAGGCAGGAAAGTCTGTGCTTTTGGTAGCCCGAACGATATCTGAACAGATCTTGTTACGATGTTCGTTGCTAACAATTGCACGGGTCGAACGCAATTACGCTAATCTAGAACGATAACGGGCAACGGCTGATATCGATGCAGCTATTCCCATTAAACGTACTCGTCTTGGTGTTATTGTTGCATCTACTCTCCTAAATCCCATTATTCCGATGCTCGATTTACGATATGGCAGTGGAAATTTTGTCAAAAGCTTTTATATGTGATTTATCGCCCCTATCGTTTGCCAGAAATTTCCACAATATAAAAATGTTAATTTTCTCCTTAATCTTTTAAACGATCCTCTTAAATAGCCAATCATATAACAAGATGAATTTTTTCTCGGTCTTTTTTCTCTTCTTTTACACTTCGTTCGTTGAAGCTTTGAATTTTTCATTTCAGTGGGAAGTTCATAAAGAAACATCTAAACAAATATTTACAGTAAAATACACACAGTAGATTCTTCATACATTTTAATAGAAATCGCTAATAACTTCAAAACAAGTTCCATCAAAATAACAAGCACAATTTCTAAAAGTAAAATAAACACAATTCAACAATGTGTTACGGTTTTGTTGAAACTACAACCGTGAAAATTTAATGAATAACATTTTATGCATTGACGTTTCATATTTACAATCATGTATACACACACGACTGTAAAATATGGGCCAGTGGAAGACTAAATGCAATTTTTGACTGACAGAGTCACACAAACTTTTCACAGCAAACAAAAATTAGAAAATTGTTACGAGTCGTGCAATCGGAGATAATTGGAATGATGTAACAATTTTAAACAGTAATAAATAATGATCGCGCAACGACAAAACGTATGATTTGCCCTGCATGATAAATACGTAGTTCGTTGAGAAATACATCTTATTATGATTAATATTTCATAGTATATAGAATATGCTCTCCAACAAACCATGCTTTTCCTCCTGATATTTTCAATTATTCCGATTTAGCCGGAATCGTTAGCATTATCACTAAAATCAAACGTACGATAATATGTGAAGATCGCCGAGTCACGGAACAAACAATGGTCGCGTATTGGAGCCGCAAGCAGTTCCACCCTGTAAGCCACCACCCTCTCGACCACCAGTGACACCGAGCATCGATGAAGTGTCGAGTGGATTCCATGGAGTAGGAAACAACAACGTCAACAACAGTAACAACAATAACAGCAGTACCGGCACTCCTACAAATGTACCGAATAGCAACAGTTCTCACAATTTAGCGACACCTACTGCACGTCAAACAAAACCGGTGAGGATTTCATTCCACTATATATTATTACATTATTATTATATTATTATTATATTATTATCATATTATACGTTTTATTGCTAATTCGATTTCTAATTTTATATTTAATATTAGAATCTTTGGATTTACGAAAGAGAGCTGTATATATATTTTTTAACGCTCATCCGTCTCTTGAAGAAATGTTAGTCACTTATAAAGAAAAGTGAATGATAATGCACAATTTTGATTGTACAAAAATTTGATTCTTTCGTTGTAAATAAAAAAGTTTACAAGCACCAGTCATTTATTTTTTCATTATATTGACTTCTTACTTTCTTGTATCAATTTGACATGAAAGAAACAATTAAATTATGGAAATGAGGGACGGATGAGGTGAAGTTGAAAGGAATTTTCAAATTCATTCCCGCTTTGTCCCATAAAATTTGCAAACTCCGGGAACTTGTAAAATAGTAACGAATTTAAAGATTCTCAAACAGAAAGATCGCAAAGTTCGCGAACAAAGTATACGAACCGAGATGGAATAAGCCGAAATGCATTCTGAGATGTGGGTACCTTTCGAGGGAACGAATGTTCCCTTGTTTAACCGAAAAGGCGAAATGTAAATCTCATAAACTTTCATGCCGGATTTTCTTTAGATCCGTCCATCGGGCACTTTGCCCACTGTTTTGGCTGGTGGCCGTAGGATACAGCCACCTGCTCCGCCCGTGCCACCTCCTCAAGTCGTCACGTCTCTTCACAGCAGCAACGACAGCGGTTTCTCAAACGAGCCACCGGCTCAGCCTGATATCGACTACAGCGACGACGAGGCTATGAGGTAAGCGATCATCACGAAATCTCATCGAAGATACTTTGGAAACTCTAATCGAATCTCGTCGAAAGTAGTTAATGATTGTTTGGTAAACCTGTAGAAACGCTTCTGCCTGTGATTCGTCAACTTCGGAGCTTTGTATTTTATTCCCGCTCTCATTTTAATATCAATTTTATTATTTTGGTCTTCCCGGTATCTTTTCTCTAACGAAATGTACAAAGATAGAATTACATTGTAGAAACGTAGCTTTTGTTTACGAAATCTAACGTCCCCCTTCCATTAAATATTTCTTATTCATCTCTCGACATTTCCATAAAAATTCGATAATACATGTATATTATATTGCGTGCATGCGTATATAGTTCATAGACTTTCCCAGTTTTACATATTCCTCATTTAAAGATATGCCTAGTCCTTTGCTCCTGAATTACGTTCACGATCTTTACAAATAAATTCTCATTTTTTCGTCATTAGTTATTCCTACTATTTTTATTATATCCAGCGTAGATATGGATGCGTACCATTGCAAAAGGAATGAACGATTTGAAAGCAGATCTGTACTTCGAGTTCAAAAGATTCGCGTAACATTGGAAAAAAGATGACTAAAATTTGAAAAATCGACAAAAAGGAGACGTAGATTTCTTATCAGCAATTGTATCGTTCATCATTTTACACCTCTTCTCCAGAAAAGAAAAAGAAAGAAAGTAATAAAAAGACGTGATCACACCCAATATCCATTCGATACCGAACCTGTAGGCTTGTTTTCAGAGTCACGATGTTGTTTTCTCTCCTGATTTGTAGATTCCGCATGCGTTATCGTGGTCGATGGAAATAAAATACGGCGTGGTGGTGGCTCATTCACCTCTCCGGGCTCCTACGATGCCAGCAGCCATATTCCCCATCCTCGCATATCGCAATATCCGCGACCACACAGCTCAACAACCGCATAACTAATCCTACCCACGTACTTGGCTCTTGGTTCTTTCTCCATATGCTGCACTATTCCGCTCTCTTTTCTTTCTTCTTCGTCTTTCTTCTCTATTCTCTGTATCATCTCTTCTTTTTTCTTTCTATCTTTCTCTCTTTCTCTCTTTCTCTCTTCCCTTCTCTTCTTTTTTTTTACTCATCCCGAGCCCGCACGAAAACGCAGACAACGACGAAGAAAGCCGCGTGCCGATAGAATAACCGAAGCGGTGAAGCAACACCAGAAGGACGACAAGCCCAACAACAAGGACTGGGAAAACGATTCCTGGAAGACGATACCTAGGGACGAGAAGAGTTGGCATCTTTACAGAACCGCGATGGACATTTGGGCGGAGGCGAACGCGAATCAAGGCAACGAGAACGGCGAGACAAGGTACCAGAATCGTCATTACGACACTCAGGAGCGCAAAAATGGAAGGGACTTCTCTGACCGTGGTGCGATGGAGAATGGGCCGACAAGAAAATCAGGAAAGAAGAGCCAAGAAAGATCGCAGAAAAACGAGTACGATAATCGCGGTCGCGGTAATTCCAATCACAAAAGCAAGGTTATGAGCAACGAAGAACCATCGAGAAAGTCCACAAGAAGGAATAACGAGCAAATGGAACAGGATCGTCGAGAATCGAAAAGAGTGAAGGAACACGATGAGACGGAGGAGGACGAGATCGAACTGGAGGAGGAGGAGGACGATACCTACGTTGGCAGGATCGATTACCAGAAGTACGACGGTAAGAAGTATTACGGGGACAGAACTGATGGTCAGGAGCGCAGCTCTCGTCGCGGATATCATCCGGTTGCTCAGGAAGAATCAAAATACGAAAACGAGAAGACATCGTCGGCCTCGTCCTCGGGCACCGACGACGAGAGTACTATCACGATCCCGGAGACTGGCAGGAAGGTGGAACATATCGCGCAGAAACTAGAGCAAACCGCGCAAAAGTATGCTCGGGAGCATAGCCCACCAAAGTTTATAGAGCGAAGGAACGATTATAGAAGTTTAGAGCGTAGAGAGGAGAAGCAACCTCCACCGCCGTACGAGAGGTATAACGACTGCGATAGGAGTCGCGGGCCGCAGAGGTTCGAGCGAGAAAGGGAACGATACTTGGATAAGTCGCCCAGTGCGGCCCAGAAGACCTCTACTTACGAAAGAGAAAGGACTTTCGAGAAGAATCCCGATAGAAATAGGAATATCGAGCGAGCGTCGAGTCGCCGCTTCGAGAGACCGAGACCGCCTTCCGAAGAAGCTCCTGAGAGGCCAACGGACCCCCGTAACCTTTATCGAGAGCGTAGATTTTCCGACAAAGAGGAGGCGATCTATGGCGAGACCAGATACGTCAGAGAAAACGTGTCAGTAGATAAAGAGCGCGGATACGAGTCGAACTTTGAGACGAAGCTGGAAAGGACGAAGGTGATCGAGAGGCACGGCTATCAGAATCTTGGTCAGAGTAATCTTCAGAAGTTCCAGAGGAACGGGCAGCAAATCTTGGAGAAGAACGATACGAATAATAACACGTTGAAGGACGATAATCGCAAACCGCTGCTCCCAAGACAGACGACCGCTGTAGGGCATTTGATACAGACAGGTAGAGCTTTCGACGTCGACTCCAAGAGTCCGAAACTCGTGAAAAGAACAAAGTCCTTCTGGAGGTTCAGGAGAGATTCCGACGTTCTTGAGGGTATGGCACTTTGGCAGCACAGATCATTGGTCGATATTCCGAAAATGATTAAGAAAGAAGCGAAAGATGACGCGAATTCAGACGATACCAGCAAGCAGAATCCAAGTGATAGCCCCAACTCTCGGCAAAGTTTGGAAAAAAGGAACAGCGACGTGACCATTACCAACGATTCGCAGCACGAAGAACCAAAACCTGCGGAAAGAATTCACGTGCCCGAAAAATCCGATTACTTTGAGGATTTTCCTACGCCGGCGGAAAGACCAAAGACTGTCGAGAGGTCCGAGTATCGAATGCATCAAGAGGAGAGGTCTTACTTTATGGGGAACGTCTCGCGGAAAGCCATAATCGAGAAGGAGCGAAAACGTAGCCTGGAAGCTAAGCGTAACATGATCGTGGCCGAATTGAAGGAAAATAACGAGGCCAAGAGGAACGAAAGGAGGAAAAAGTACACGGACGACGAAGATGGATTGACGCAGAACTTCAGCGAAACAGAGGCGTCCGACGAAGAGTCCACGTACAGTTGCATCGTAGTAAAGGATCAAACAGTGGCGGAGAAGACTCTTCTTCCCAGGACTAAACTCCGTAGGGATTCCGACCGAGAAAGAGATAAAAATACTTGTGGACCGTGGTACGATCTTTGGGGAGTGGACGCCTCCGTCAACAAGAAGAAGAAGAAGAAACAGCAATAAATCTATTAAACTCTCTTCTTCGTTCGGATCCTCCGAATCGGTATCATTGTTTGAGTCCCTAGCGGTCTCCATGAAAGAGTTCATCACGTTTGAAAATTTATTAACGTTATACCGTTCAACAAAGTTCTGAAAACGAATCAAGTCTTTGCACCATTTCAAGACCCGAGAGAAACGAAACCGATTTCGAATTGGACGAGCCAGTTGTGGAAGAGATAGTTAAGATACGATTCGTTTAATAATTTCGTTCTTAAAAGATCGCTCGTTTTTAAGTTTGTCATCGCATTCCAATTTTATTATCATCTCCACCCTCGTATACCCGATTTGCACCACGAATGACCGTTCGCAAGTCTTCCACGTAGCGCTATTCCCATTGCTTCTTGAAACGTTGAAGCCTGTTTTTATGTTTGCAAGCATAGTTATACTGTTTTATTCTGCTTTCGTCGACGCTTGTTTATGATGAAATCAACGTGTTGACGTTAAGCGAGCGCATAAAGTAAATCGAAATGCGACCAACGATTTTACACGCGATTGTCAAGCAGTTTGTGACCGCGATGGAGAAAACAATGTTACGGATGATGTTTCAATCGTAACTCTTGTTGGATCCATCGTTGCAGAACACTGCAATGATTCGATGATATTTTACTCTTGTAAATTCTTGTAGAGTCTCATAAATTATTAAAGTCTCGAAATAATTTGATATACATGTCGGATAAGTTTCACGCCGAGTTCACAAAAAATATAAGTAGCAAATCCAGAATCAAAGAATTTTTAAAAGAATCTATATGTTCATTCACGCTCTGGTAATTCTTTAGCTGAAACACGAGTAAAGAAGTTTTAAAAATGTATAATACGTTCGAACGATCGGAATTAATCTGTCAATTTCCATAAATCGTTCCTGTCAATGACCAACGAACGCATAAATAATTGCCGGTTGCCACGCTGCGCTTAAAAATGACTGTGTAAACTAGTTTCTGCATTAATAACATGACGATTCGAGTTTGAAACTTTATGTCCACGTATTCGTTCATTACCCGTGTAAATTAGTTTCTGGTTCCCGTTGAAACGATTTGACATGCGGTACGCTGTTGCAACATTCAATTGAATTCAATTTCATTCCCACGGTGTTTCATTTTGATATATCGTGAAAGATGTTTACTACGTCCGCTGTTTTACGTATTTTTAGCAAAAGTTATGTCACAGTCTGGTGTGGTCGTATATCAACGCATCCAAACATTTTCTCGCAATTTTAAGAATCTTCGTAAAAATATTTCAACGTGTGTGTTTCGTTCATTTTTTCGTAGCTCGAAGAATTCGTTTGTGCACCTCGTATCTTCTTTCATCGCACCTCGCCGTTACCAATTGATGAAATATGTATGCTAAAAGGTGTGTTGTTCGTGCGATACACCAAAGAATGTTCACATTTAGTTTTGTGTTTGCGCTTCGCATGAAATATCGTGTCAATGTATGGACAATATCGCTGTACGTTGCTCTTTGTTTTTCCATAATACCGTGATACAAGTTTATCGCCAGCAATCTGCAGATTTTTCGAATGTTTTCTACAGTTTCTCCTTCTGATTGCCGTATAAAATAACGAAAATAGCACTGTTAAATTTGTGAAGCAATCGCTTGGAAGCGCGTTGTGAAAGTGATTTCACAGTACGCTTCCAAAGTCCCAGACAGTTCGATCTTTCTAGCTTAAAAAAGAATTTATTTAACTTCCTACTTCTGCTAGAAATTCTTAAATTTTCATTCAAGAACTGTTTGGATTATATATTGTACCATTTTATCGATCAAACTTTTAACGATCGAACAACAGCGCGAACAATGCGACTGATAAAATTTCCTTTGATTATTCGATTCTTCCAGGACAAACATATTTGCAACGGTAAAACTACGCAAAACGAAGACGAACGATCGCTCGGCGCCAGCGTTGTCATGAGATAAACTCTTCATCTAGATTACTTTCCTCGTATGATGTTAGATGTACCGACAAAGGCGGTGCCCCTCTGTTCGAGGGACAACAGTTCCTTTCATGAAAAAACTTCTGAAGCGACTGCTTCGTAGATTCTTTTTTTCGCGGCGTGGATGTCCGTCCAACGAACACGTCTGACTTTAATCCTCTATGACTATCCTTTCGAAGAGCGAAGAGATAGATTCACGAAGCGATTCCTTCGCTTCGTACGATTGAAATTCATTCAGTCAGCTTTTTTCTGAAAATTCTTCAGCTCGTGACATACATTCAGAGATTTTTCATTGCGATTCGATCTGTCAATTTATCGAATGCTTATAACACGGACTGATGATCATAGGATGATTAGGGACCATTATGCGATCAATAACGATAAATTTTTTATATATCAAGCTTTAAGAGCATTCTCTCATAAATATGAGCATTTTTTACGCATCATAGAGGATTGAAGAATAGTCCTCCGACTAAAAAGGACCATAAAAATGTCAACTTCGTCCAGGTAAGACGATCGTCATTTATCTTCTGTATTTTATCTTCAAAAATATTTCCGCCATTCGTTTCGAGAAATATTAATTACTTTTGTAAGGTAGTTGCGTTTTAAAAGTTATTTACATTCCTTATGTGTATTTTTTCTGTCCTATATTCTTTACCTACAACCTGTATTTCGCGCGTCCCGGCTTGTTACCACTCCTTCCCCAACCTCGGTCGAAAATCGATTCGTACGCAACTATTCGTTATTTTTATCGGGCCCTCGATACACTCGCGCCAGTAACGGCAGTTTGTTTCCGGGCAAGTTAATCCCCGATGCCGCTTCCTCTACTTCGACGACTCCGTCGCGCCGTCACGGAATGAAACTTTCATTCTAGACGTCGTAAAGCTGCTTTACGTTCATGCCCGCACGGGTTAAGGCTCGTAAAATTTCACTCCTCATTTTTTTTCCTCCATCTCCCTTTCCTTCTCACGCCCTCGACTCTTGTCCACCGCGGCTCGCGCGCTTCCGCGTCGCGAAGCTTTTTCTCCTGCGGTGACTGTCGCCGCTTCTTCAACCTTGCTTGCCTGTGAAAATAAACCCCGACGAAAGAGAACCGAGCACAAGCTCTGCTTCTTCCTATTGCCGTTGCGTGCGTGAGATCGTGTGTCGTTGAGAAGAGGAAGCGTGCTTTCGAGTTTCGACTTTTGTTAGCTCATCGTCCGCTTCCGCGTCCCGAGCCCCATTCTGTACCCTTTCATTCTTATTTCCGTTCTCTCGGCTCTCGTGTTTGTTCCACGAGTCCCAACCATCGAGAACAACGATACTTACCGTCGTATACATTCGTTCCATTCCGATACAAACATTTATCCGACAGATATTATGACGTATGATTACTTCGATTAATATAGTACGATAGGTTTGTCCCGAGGAAATATACTTGGCGACGTGAGGTACGAATTTTTAAGCTGAAAGGCTCAAAAGACACTTGGAGTTTCGTAGTTGTAGAATTTTGCAAGCAGCTCTGTTATTTAGCCATTATTGCAGTCGTAAATACTATTATTCGTTTATTTTGAACAGAGTGTATATGAAATTGTTTCTTCAAAGGATATATCGTCGTTCGTTTGTACTTACGTGAAACAGCTATTCTAACTGCCTATCTATATTAAACTATACAAGTATTTCTACTTAGACATATACGCATGATTTCGATTCTTAAAGTTCTGGAAATTTTATTCTGACAGATTTCCCATGATATTTTCTGTCGTTAAACTTTAGGTATTGACCTTTATTCACCGATATATAATAATCTGTAAATATATTCGTTTTTGAATTAGCAAGTTAAACTTGTGATAAGTATACGTAGTTGCGTTTGAGCCGATACGTTTTATATTATTGCAACGGAGTAGATCGCGCGATAATTTTGGACCGTTTTGAAACGAGAAAACAGGGAAAAGACACGAAAATATCTAGCAAATAGAGATACCCAAAAGACGCCATTGTCGGGGAGAGCAGAAATCGAAAGATCGTCCCGTATCGATAGAAAACTTTTACTGCGAATTTTATCGCCGTACACTGCCAGGCATTCTGATGTTTTCCCATTTCCGAAGAGTTTCCAGGGAGTCGAAAAGCTTTCGAGTTCATCAAACAAGATACGACAGTCGTAAAGCATCGATCAACCCCTATAAGAACACTTCGAATCTTTCTACATTCCAGCAATGGGAAACTTAAGTGATAACGAATAGAACACGGTCATTCCTAGGTGCCCTGATTTTCGTCACACGTAATTGTACATACTATATCACACATCCACGGACATGCATACGTATTATCGTTCTTCCACTTTGACAAAATATAGTCACTCTCTGTCGCGTGGACAGAGAGAAGAAGAGACGTAATAATCTTAGAACAGGGATCTCGAGATTGGTCCTTCGAAACGCAGCCCGTTTTATCTAAATGTTTGCACCGTCTCTCTCTCCCCACCATCATCAATTAATCGAACCTGGTGAAATGCACTTTGAACGATAATAATCAAATTCTAAGGCTATAACTATTCCCTGAATCGTAGAAAACGTTGTTAGAAGAACCTTTCGCGATTCCATTAGGATGGGATGCGCCTATCCTACATCGATTTCGGGATCTCTGATGTAAATTATATAGTTTCCGATGGAGATACGAATATAAGAAGGAATAAAAGGTTTAGGGAAACTTTTTTTGTAATTGCGTTAGATAAGCTATGCGATAAACGTGCGAGTCCAAGAAGAGAAAGAAGATGTTAATATATTATAAATACGCATATACCGGCGAAAGTGCCGGATGGTTAGGGGAAATTTCACGAAGCCGGCTCGTTTCGCGAAAAAAATTACGAGTTCGAGGGATGATTTCCAAACGGAGGAACGAGACGGGTTCGACTGGTCACCTTCGGTGACATTTTTGGGTAGTCTAGGGAAAACAAAATGATGAAATTGTTAATAAGAACCATGTATACATGCATATACGTTATATATATATATATTATTGTTATTATATTAACGTTTTTTGTGCAACCATTGTGTACGATTATTTATTTCAATGCAACCCTGCCACTATTTTACATTATTTTTGGAGTGTCACGACAAAATATTCCTAGTATTCAATAAATTATCGTATTCGATTCATTTTTTAATGTCAACGAGTAACTCATGGCGATTGCAAACGATTCGTTTGGAAAACGACTAATATGTGCATATTTTTTATCAGTGTTTCGCACGGTAGGTATCTTTGAATTACGATTTTATTTTAACAATAAAAATTTGATTCGACGATATGAATTCGCGATCTATTTTCCTTATCGGGTGCACATTCTTTTTCATTTAACGATTTTACGTGGTTAGTTTGCGACACGTCAGCAATATTGTTCAACGAAACGTATCCTGCTTTCCAATCACGAAGAAGGAAGCTTATCGTTTCGACGCAATAATCTCATAGGTGAGATCAGCAGGTAGGTATTTTTGTACCGCAATATCGTACAGTTAAGACTGTTAGACGTAATTTATTTTCACGAAAGTAAAAAGGAAAATGTATATCTAAAAATCAGAGAGAAAATCTCCTGAACATAATAATTCCTATACATATGTATATACAAATATGATGGCTTATGAAAGTATATGAATACTTACAAACAAAACACCAACTTCACGAAAGTATTTGACCACCTGTACATCAATACAGACTCAATAGGCAACGATATATCGTTATCAACTTTCAATTCCGTGATCATAAAAGCACCTAATTAAAAGATGATATGTTTTACAGGTTAATATTCAGTTAATATTCAGTCAACATTCTCTCGGATCCTAATCTGAAATAATTAGTCCAACCTAGCATCTCTAACATACGATCATTCGCTACTCACATTCATATCAAATTCCCCATTCCCGCACGATTGTTTCTAGATAAGGGTTATCGATTTTCCGTCACTCGCTGGCAAACAATTCTCCATAGAGCGAAAGGGTTAAACACGTGTGTACCGTTTCACGAACTATTCACAAACATTGCATTCAGTCTGGTGAATCAGGCGTAAATCTGGCTGCAAAAGTAGCCTAATTTACTTTTTTTTTTCGACCTCCGGGGAATTGTAACGATTAAGCCGGTAACTCAATGGGTGCTGACGTCGGGAAGAGGGAGACAACGGGCCAGATGATTAAACACGGGGAATACATTTGTTTCACTTTCGCCTGGAGGAATAGGCAAATACGCGAAATTGTACTCCGCCAACCGATCGGCTGATTGATTCCAGCTACCACGGGAAAAATTTTCTCCATCGTACTAGACTACAAACCACGTTGTAAAATGGAATACACCTGAGTTTCTAAAAACAGGTGTCAACCTGAGAAACTTTTTTGTTCATCGATCCATCAAAACTTTCGTGTATTTTCCACGGTATTCCTGAAAGATGAAACGAATCGATTATTCGAATGAACGAACGGGAGATTAATTATCGGAACGTAACAAATTGTCGACGAACTGAATGATCATATTATACGGGTTATATTTTATTATAAGACGGAAATTTCTATTAAAATCACCTGCTACGAGCCCTTCGAATTTTTAATTAAGACTACCCGAAACAAGAAAGATCCAGCGTACTCGCGATGTTTTAACATTTTTCTCAGACATAAACTTTTTGACGCTGGACTAACACGATACGAGCGAAAATGAGCAAAAATTCGCAGCGTGATTAAATCCCTCGAGTTTTGCACGCTGTAAACGACAGGTACGCTCGTGTAACGACGTTTGATCCCTTTCGCTGTGAAGAGTGACTAAAAACGAAAGACCCAAACGGCAAGAATGAACCAACAAAATCACGGATATTGACGGATCAGTGAAAATCGGTGATTAGCGCTGTCGTATTAATCGACGCAGTTTCGTAACCGTGATATCCAGCAGGCCTATAACGTGTTCATTACGTGTGGTACACGTCGAATTGCCTTACCGCTGTTGCACGCCGCTATTTGCTTTACTTTGAACCATCAAATTCTGTATCCAGGTTTTTGGCGTATGGAATGCACCAAAGCCGAGCGTATTTGTCAAGTAGTTAATTATCATTCGCATAGCCCTGTCCCTTTTATTTACGGCCACCGGTGGATGTGTTCCGGATCGACGTGGCGACCAGTGTAGTCGATGAGACATCCCTATCATTATTACAGAGCATTTAATTAGCTCGCCGATTTTTCAAAACAAGACTCGTTCCGGAGGAAGCATCGTTAGAGAAAATAGAGTCACGGATCTGCGAATCGATCGATGAAAATTGTGTTATACCGTGAGAGATTTGATTTTCGTAGAAATCGGAGGCGGGGACTCGCCTGGCAATTACCAGAGGTATTGCAATCCGATTAACGTCGGCTCCATTGTTTATTGCGATTCGGACGAATGGCAATTTTGAGAAAGGTAAGCTTTATAGCGATTTTTTCAATTCTGGCTACTTGAATGATCTTTGTAAAGTAAACGGATCATTGAGTATCTTTCTCGATCCCTTCGGTACAAGTTTCCTACTTTGATTGTAAGTGATCTTAGCGTCAAATTCATTTTTAACAGATATAATGATTGAAAGCGAAACGAAACTTCCGAAGAACTGAAAAAGCAAAGTGTCATTCGTAAGGAACTTTAGGATCAATTGAAAGAATATAACAGTCTTAGCGGTATATCATTACAGATGTATTAATAACACAGATTGATACAAATGCCTAAATGGTGCTCGCGTTCGGAAAGTGTTTCGACAGCAACGCAAACTTTTGATATATAGCGTGTTTAATGGCAATGTACCTGGCAGAGTCAGTTATGAATATGCTAACCCGAAAGGCTGGATATGTCGAAGCTAAAACCAATTTCGCTGTTCGTTCTCTTTTTTTTTTTGGAACTAAAATTCTGGAACACGTCCTATCGTTCAAAAAATGACTGAGACGGAATGGATTAAAAAGAGTCCGGGCTTCTTCTAACATTCATGCCTACTTACCATCCATACGCTATCCAAGTACATTTTCCCAATATTCCTGCATTACGAGGCGAATGAAACGAGAGAAAAACACTATACGAAGGAGACGAGGAATAAATTTTTACACGCAATAATCTACTATTAATGACATAAAAACGGAACTTCTGTTAAAAAAAAAAAAAAAAAAAGGAGAAGGGCGCCGAAATTCGCACTAAAATTCCGAGTAAAAGCCAATATAAAATGACCCTTGCGAAGAGCGTAAAAAAAGGGGGGAAAAAATATAAAATTGCATCATAGACGATATTCTCGCTAACATATTCGATATTGCGATTTATCGCGATGCCCTTAAAAAGGTGGACACGAATAGGATGGGCACGCGAAGGGGAAGAAAAATCTCGTTGCTCGACGCATGTGTCGCCCTCCAAAGCCTCGTAAAAAAGCTACCCTAGATGCGTTTTATTGGTCTAGGCAGGTAGGTGGTATACACAGGCGTGAGGAACCGGGAGTTTCGCTTTTTTCGCCGCAAGTGGGGTTGCAAAATGTACACGTGGCGTCCTGAGATAACGCACGCTTAAACAAACAGCGCTACGGAAAGTTGTCTGGAATCTGTAAACAAAAAAGGTTCACAGAGTTTCCGCTTGTAATATAGAAACCGTAAAAGTGATACGTGCAACAAGGAAGCAACCGACAGAATAGAAGGAAATCCTACATGTTTTTTTTACATTCAATCGCGAAAAGGATTACCTGTAACTTTATCCTTTTTTACGACACGCTACCGGTAAAATGAAAATACCGTGACATGTGTTCCGGAGTATCGACTCTAGATATATCGTGTCGTAAAACTTGTTCCCTTTCGTGTTACCGTGAAGATACGAAAGCAATGAAACTTCTTACAATTTACTACTATTTTTTGAATGCACAGCTTTACCACCGTTCATTGTATTCTAGGATCCGAATCGATACGTAGTTTTACGATGTACATGCAATGCTGATACAAGTGTAAAAAATAAACATGCATGAGATTTTGAAATAAACATTTGCATAGAAATAGATCTTGTACGAATTACCTTTTACATCGAAATCTTCTATTCTAATTGAATTAAAAGATACTTCAAAATACCTATGTTCTTATAATTTGAACCTTTTCTAACATTGGAGAACTATACAAGAGAATATGTTTTCTGAAATTCCAAATTACCCGATTAATAACAAAATAGATACGGAGATGCTCATTAATCAATATATTCTAAATTTACAATAATACAAAACACGGAACATAAAATATGTATCTTATATGAATCGTGAAAATCAGGAACGAACGTGTTAACGCAACGAGATCACACTATGCAATAAATCTAAAACCTTTCCTGTAACTCGCATAATCTTCGTGTAAGCACACTTTTTAGCCCACCCGACGCTTTTTTTTATGTCTTTGCACTTGTTAACGGATGAACATTAATCACGTGCGCGAAGACTGGCTCGTTTACAGATTTCCTTCGTTTCCTTTCGTGCGATCTGCTTCGGAGAGTCTCTACTTCCTCGAAATGAAATCACTTTACGCGACTGTAACTAATGCAAACAGAACGTGTAACGTTAGCTGAAAATGTACGTGAATCGCGCAGCCGTTGTTGAGGCAAATGTAAAAAACTTCCTTCAAATGAAATAGAACGTTGCAACCTCCGTGTGTGGCAGTACAAAATTTGCTTCACGGAAGTTGCTCTACATTTAATAAAAGGAGTGTTAGCTCCGGCTACGGTCTATAAAATTAAATTTATGTTTTCTGCAGTCTGATTTACACGGCGATGAATTCTGGCTGGATAATTCCATGTTAATGTTAGCGCAGACATGGCAAACAAAATAAATTTGACAAACGTACGAATTTTCCAAAA